GGCAGGAACACAGTGGTGGGGGGGGGGGGGGGGGGGGGGGGAGGGCTCAAATTCAAACTCACAGAGAGCCTCCTGCTTCTGCTTATGACCTCAGAGCCTGCACCTTCACCTGCCACAGGCAGCAAGGGGCAAGGACGGCTATATCTCCCCTGCCCACACCACCACATGCAGATGAGGGGTGGGGCCAGATCTCGCCCGCTCCCCTATCAATAGCTCCACTGTACTACTGCCCAGGCAAGGTGCAGGGCTCACTTTCCCAAGTGCTGAGTTGGTAGGGGGAGGGTCAGCTCCCTCGCCCACCACAGGTGGCAGAGGCAAGGGGGGGAAGGCATCTTTCCCTCACCCTCACCACCACATGGCAAGAGTAGGACAAGGGAGGTGTCCTACTCTTGAAGAAACAAAATGGCTTAATTATGGGAAATTACTTTTAATATTTCCCTACCAGCATTTCTCAGCATGTAAGTAGCAGATTAGCATATCTTTGTGTTAGGATGTTTGGTTTGGTTTTTAAAATTGCTGTTTGATTCGTTGATTTGAGTTTCATTTTTTAATTATTATGTAAATTTTGACTTGAGATTAGGACAGTATTACCAGCAATTTTTAAAGTAGCCCTGAACAAAATTCTGATTTTTTTCAAACTCCAAATGTATGTTTAGTGGCATTCTCAGTGTTGATGACTAATAAGACCACAATTTAGATCTACTCTGAATAACACTGAAAGTGTTTTATGTCCTTACCCAAAATATCAAATGTTAGCTGAGATTAGCTAAAAATAAGCAAGCATACTCATCTCATTGGCATGCAATTTTGCTTTTGCCTTTAATATACAGTGAAAATAAATGTATACCTCAGAAGCATTTAAAAATAAATGTCTTTATGACTCATTGTCAGTAAATGTTTGACATCTATACATATTTTATAAAATTACATACCAAGGGTCATGTAAAAATTTCTTGGGGTTATGAGTAGTAAAATTTTAAGAAGTTCTGATGTCAGACATGCCAAGCTCACAGAAAGAATAAGAGTTGGAAGAATGTAGACACTGTTATCACAGCATGGTTTATAATCTGGGGAAAATAAAGTTCCCCAAGTGGGCAGTCAGGGATTCCCCAA